AGAGTCCTTTTTAAAAGTTGATCATTTTGTGTTCATTTTGTTTAGTTCTTTTTTGTAAGATTTAATGTTTAGTATAGAGCTTAGAAAAAATTTGCAGTGTGAGATAGGCAAGAAGTAAGGCATGTAGCAACATCAGCACGGCAAAGGGCACTCCTTTAAAGGCAAGGAAGGGCAAAAATATTTTAAGTCAAGAATACGATTTGCAATATGAGTATATGCTGCTTTTAGTACCTTATAAATTTTGAGATATAATAGAAAATATATAGACTTGTATCATATTTTGCAGAGGTGCAAGACCCATTGCAAAATATTTTAATATTAGCCATTTATAACAATTTTCAATTTGGCATCATTCATTGACCGAGCAGCCAGTACTCTCGTAGGTAGGAATTTAAAACAGTGTAACCCTGACACAAGAGACCCGGATATTTTATTTTTAAAATCCCAAATTAGAGCCCATACTTACCTAAACAAAATAGACCAAACCCGGATATAAGAGAAACCCTGATATAAGAGATTTCTTCTCCGGTCCCGACAACTCTCTTATATCAATTTACATCCAAAAAAATCTTTCTAAAAAAATTTTTCAGGAAAGTTTCAGGGATCTTTCAAAAAACTTAACATTTGATTTAAGTCCCACCACTTCCAGTATCTAATTTAGCTCCCCAACCACTTATTTTTAATATGATTTCGCATCGCCTGACTTTTTCATTTCGTGGGGCCAGTGTAATTCGTCATTTCACTTTCTTTTCTGAAAGAAGCTAATAAACTGAAAGTCTTTCATTGATTATCTCCCTTGAGTCTTCCTTCTCAAACGATATCCAATTATTTGCGACTTCTTTCACCACTTTTTTTTTTTTTTAACTCATTGATTCACGAAAAAAAGATTGTTTTAATTAAAAGATAATTCATTGAAAATTTTTGCTTTGTCAACACTGCATCGTTTTCTGCGTTTCCAAGACATGAAGATGGCAAAACATTTGGGGTAAGTACAAACTATGTTTACATATGAATATAGACTGCTTGGAAAACAACAGATTTTTAACAACACGGTTGGATGGAAGATAACATTTTCTCTTCGTTAAAAAATGTTTCTATAAGTTTTCTTTTTATTACGATTTATAATCGTCCATCAGTAAATAAAAAGATTTTTTTTCTCAAATGGTTTCAATTATTGCTTAAGTAAATGTATTATATATAATATTAGCAATCTCGTTCCGTTTTTGGGAGTTGTTTTGTATCTACGGAAGCTCAATTTAGCCATAATTTAATTTTTTCGTTATCTTTGTCACCTTTCGCTCGCTTTCCCCAAACCGATCAACCACTGCCGGCTGCTTTAGCTTTTGTCATGAAATTTGAATACAAATTAAAATTAATTAATTTCTTTTTTCCACGAGCATTTTTTACTGAGGAGTTAAAAAAAAAGTAAAACGCGGCAAAAATTGAACAAATACTTTTGTTTTTTGTGGGGAAATTTTTGTCGAGGTGAAAACAAAAAAAACTAATTATTTTTTGTTTTAAGGGTCTCTTTTACTATTTAAATTAAAAGTATTATTGTTTGAATGAATACATTAAAATTTAAATTAATTTCTGTACTGTCAAGTTTAACGCCCGTAACAATTTTCGCATACAAAATACTGAATTACCTCCCTTAGATAATTTTACCCAGTTTCATATTCTGATCACACGTTTTTACTTTTGTTTTGTTTTTTTTTTTTTACTTTTAAAATTTTACTTTTAAATGCTTTTTTACTTTTTTAAAAATTGGATCATTTGTGATCAGTACAATTTATAAAATTTATAAAACGGGTTACTTAGCAGTTTAGCACCTGTGCTTAGCATTAAAAATTTTCAGAATATTTACGTTTATGTGTAATTCTACATGCTCCATTCGAATCTGGCTTGATAAATTTGATAAAATCTACCGTTTTGGAGTTATCGACAGTGAAAGTTCAGATTCATTCGTGTCGTGGCAGCCATTACTGGCTTTGTTTGCATTCATTCACTGCTGAATAGCTATGAGTGGGATATTCACTTGTCTTGATTATTGCGCACACAATGTAGTTCTCTTGCACATTAATTGAGACACATTAAATCAGTAAACAAGGCTGTTAATTATGTTCTCTTCCGCGCTTAGCTTTCCACAGCAAATGTATGCAAACAACACCAGTAATGACTGCTGCCAATGACACGAGTGAATCTAAACTTTTACTGTTGATGATTTCAACACGGTAGATTTTGTCAAATTTATCAAGCCAGATTCGAATGAATTTTGAAGAATATTCTATGTCAAGTTAAAGTATCTTAATTCCCTAATTATTCACTAGGAGTCGCTCTCCCTAAACTACAAATACTGGGCGACTTCTCACCTCGTTCTCTTTTTCATTTCTTCATTTCAGTGAACACCTCTACAATGTAAGCTCTTGCAAAAGATAGCATCTCACCACTTGTGGGAAGACGCTGTGAACATTAAACACGCATACACGTACGTACGAACATTCACCAAAGAACAATCTCTTTATCTTCACACACAAACACAAATGTTAATGTCTTTGTCACTTGCAAATTTGTTGTTTAATACATACATTTGTTGACATATATATATATATATATAGGTTTTGTTTGTCTTCTTTACATCTTCGGTTGGACTCAGTTTGAGTCTGGAATTTTCTTGTTGTTGGACCTTCTTCTAGCAGGAATAAACAGCACGTGTTCCTAATCTAACAACACTCGCAAACCCACACAGTCCTCTACAAGTATTCTGGGAATTTTAATTTCATTTTACTGAGCAACAATTTACACTGTAAATTTATCATAAAACAAATATAAACATATAAAGCAAAAAAGGTCAGATCTAAATCCTTTAGACAGCATTTCTCAAACTTTTTTTTACCCTTGTGTGACCCTTCATGGAAGAATTTTCATGTCCCCCTACATAAAAATTATTATATACCATTATTAAGATCTATCTCTTATATATTTTTATCATAGTTCATGTGGTAAACATAATATATGGATGCTGTATATGCAACCTGTACTCGGGTCAGTTACACAATGATACATACCAGCACATACAGGTTCTGTCCACTAACCATGGAAGGCAGTTTGACACTGACACCATACAGACATTGCTAAATACATTCACCATGGTTATCATAATTTTGAATAATATAAGATATTGAATCTTTGATTATGATATAACTGGGGAGTGACGGTAGTTAAGATAATAGGGATGTCAATGGAAAACCGTCGTTTTTGACACTCCATTTTTTTTTGCTGGCACAAAGGCCCAAGATTGAAAAAACCTTTTCAACAAAGAACATGAGAGTTAAACATTTTCTCTTTTTCACTACCAGGGAATCAGCAGAATGAATCATAAATTGCATTTAAACTCGGGGAGAGTGTATAGAAAGTGCTTTAATCGCTAGATTATCCACATGATTTTTTTTTTAAATTTTTTTCATACTAGGGAAAATATTTGATTATTTTTGGATTCAAACCTTTGCATCCTATAATGGAACCGTCATTTACGTTTTCACGTGCCTTTAACCCATTTCGACCATTTATTAAATAATAATTAAATTTATATAATAATAAATTATTATATAAATCATTATATAAATTATTATATATCAGAACAATATAAATTATTATATAAATTATTATATATCAGAACAATATAAATCATTATATAAATCATACCTATTATAAAACCCAGGTTGTGTGTGTGTGTGTGTGTGTGTGTGTCTGTACGTTTATGTATTGGATCGGATTCCTACATTTTTCAACCGATTTCAACAAAACTTCACAGGACTACGTAAAATTACCTTGCAGTGGTTCTGACAGTGCCAAAAATTGGAAAAACACAATTGTTTTTGCACGAAATCAATTTGAAAACATGATTAAGAGGCATTAATGAAAGGGGGACAACTCATATCGAGTTATACTTATTACTTATTAATATCGAGTTATACTTATTATAAAACCCAGGTTGGTTGTTTGTTTGTGTGTGTGTGTGTGTTCATTTATATATGGGATCGGATTTCCTACATTTTTCAACCGATTTCAACAAAACTTCAGTTTTTTTTGGCAGGTAGTGTTTCTTATTGTCTTGCACACTTTTCTCTTTATTTTTACATTCAGAATGCTTTAAAAATTCCATTTACAAGACAATTGTTTATAATAAAATTCTATTCAATCGGTAGACTCGTAACGATTGAAAACAATGTTTTTGTTTTGGGTTTGACCAATTCGTAAAAAAAACAAAAAACAAAAAATAAAACTAATTAAGACATGTGTGTCCGTCAACCTTAAACAATAATCTTTGTAAATTTTATTTTTCAGTCTTTATGATGGTCGATACTTGATCTTTCTTTTACTGTTACATCCCCGGGCAACGCCGGGCTCTACTGCTAGTTACTAATAAAAAAATTAATTGGAATGACGAAAACAATTTACGACTAATAAATTATGGCATTTTATTCACAAAATTTGAAATGACAGAAAGTTTTTAAAAAATTCTTATTGAATAACATTTGTTTTTTACAGCTTATCAACCTTTCACAGGTTACTTAAAGCCATTAATTATAAGAATTTTTTTATTTTTGGAGATAATAGTTGAGTGATACAAGTCTTAATTAACCCATACCTTGGTGTTGGGGGGGGTGAATCGGTGGATTCATAACTTTTCCATTGTACACTTGCCCCCCCTGTTATTAAGTTATAATAAAATTTAATAAAAAAATCAATTTTTTTTTTTTAGATACTTGTGATCTGGAGCACATAATCTATGATGGTATGAAAAAAATTCAAGATAATAATGATTTACTGATACTAGCCTTACTAATTAACCAATTTTCTGGGGGGGTGAGGAGGGGACACATATCTTTCCCAAGTGTATTTGTGTGTGAATGAATCATCTTCCCCCAAGTCTTTGGAACTTCTTCTGATTAACAGTTCCGAATAATTTCATTATGCATTACACCATCGCACATCCAAGCTAACAGCACTTGGTATTCCCGAGCAGTCACCCATCTAGGTACCGACCAGGCTCGATGTTGCTTAACTTGGGGGATCATACAGGAACCGGTGTTCCAACATGATGTGGCTGTAAGCCATCTTCAGGAGTATGGGCATAGTTTTTATTGGCTTCCATAAGAACAATTTACGTTGAATTCACACAGCTGATAGAATTCAAAAAAAAAAAAAAAAATTGGTAATTGTAATTACTCATGCTTAATCTATAATAATATAAAAACCGGATTTGAAAATCCTGATTATTTCTGGTTGCATTGCCTATTCTAAAATTCTGCCCCCATTTCCAATTAAAGAAGGAATATCGCCTGCATAATTAAAAAGTAATTCATATTTACAAAACTTCTATTGTTTTATTTTACTTCGTACTTATTCAATATTTCTGTTCTGTTTCCAGATTTTGCTGATAAAGATTTGGTACCCTTGAGAACTGAAAAGGGTACCCTTGAGAACTGAAACAGGTACCCTTAAGAACTGAGCAATTGGATTTTTCCAAATCCACATCGTATGAAACAACTCAAAAGAAAAGAAAAAAAAAACAAACGTTTTCTGGAAATTAAACCTTCCTAACAAAACAACACATTGAAGACTTTGGAATAGAAAACCTTCACCAATCCACACAAGCAGATTAACGAGTCCAGTTTTTGTGTCTGAGCTCAGACTGTTTCTTGCTCTGAAAAGATGGAAGCGAAAAAGAGGAGTGTCCGAAAATGCCGTAAAACTTACACTCCGGCAAAAAAATCAACTCCAAATAGCAGAGTGAAAGTAAATGCTGAACAGAAACCTTTCAACTGTGAGAAATGCCAGTGTAGTTTTTCCGATACCACCAACCTAGAGTATCACAAAAGCATACATGACACAGACAAACCATTTCATTGCGAGATTTGTAAATTACTGTTTCCCAAGCGATCCAGTCTAAAAACCCACATGCGGACACACAGCGGCAAAAAAGTGTACCAATGTGAGGTTTGTGAGTCAAAACTAAAAAATATTCACATCTCAGAAGACACATGCATATATATGGAGAAGTAATTCAGTTGTAATGTTTGTGAAGCTAAATTCACGCAGAATTCACATCTCAAGTCGCATGTGCGTAAACACTCTGACGAGAAACCTTTCAAGTGTGAGACTTGTGAGTCAAAATTTTCTCGAAAATCTGATCTCAAAATTACACATGAAATACATACTGTTCCAAACCCTTGTTTTGTTCAACGTTGGCTTTAATTTTATAAAAGTCCCACCTTGATAAAGACATGGTAAAAATTTGGCTAAAACCTTTTTCATTGTGAGGTTTGTGGTTATTAAAAATTTTCAGAAAATTAAAAAGCTTAAGAGGCATTTTTGCCAATAAAACAACAAAAAAAATTCCACTGTGACATTTTATTAAAGCAAAAATTCCTGGAAAAATTATACCTGAAAAGACATATGTTCACCCATAGTACTGAAAAACCGTTTCATTGTGACATCTGTGGAGCCAAATTTTCACAGAAGATCTACCTGAAAAGTCACATGGTGACACACAGTGGAGAAAAGCCCTATCAGTGTGAAATGTGCGAATCAAAATTTTCACGTAGGCAGCATCTAAAAATTCATATGCGTCGACACACAGGTGAAAAACCCTTCCAGTGTACGATATGTGAATCAAGATTCTTAACGAGCTCAAACTTGAAAACACACATGCGAACGCACACCGGCGAAAAGCCCTTCCACTGTAACTTGTGCGGATCCAATTTCACAGAAAACTCATCCCTGCGGGATCATATGCGAATACACACTGGAGAAAAACCTTTTCACTGCGACATTTGTGGATTGAATTTCACCAAAAATTCCAACCTTAAGAGTCACATACGGAAACACACCGGTGAAAAGCCATTTCACTGTGACATTTGTGGGTCGGATTTTTCACAGAGTTCCAGTCTTAAAAAACATTTACGCACGCACTTAAGAAAATATCAGCCCCATTAAAATTTGACAGGCAGCGGATTCTGCTTAATTGGGACATGTCGAGACAAAAGATTTTGGTCAATGTAAGCAATTGTTTCTTTAAATATAATTACTCTACTTTGAAGGAATTACCTGTCTAAAGACACACCAGACTTATGACCAACTATAAATCACATAAAATAAAAACATCCCAACTGGTCACTATTGTGCACTGTATGCACATTTTGATCGTGAGCATTTTCTCTTTTTTTTTTAATCATTTCACTCCAAGCAAGGCAATAAGGCCACTAAGACGCAAGGGTTTATTGAGTGTGAGAGAATATGAGAAAAAGAAAACATTATTAAGGAAAGGTAACAATAAAACAACAGGAATTAAAATAACAGAAGATAACAATTGTCACTGCATTTAAATTTCTGAAGATCAAATTTGACTGGTAAGTAAGGAGCCGGAAGAGAGCTCTGCAAGCAAGAAATGTAAGAGGAGAAAATGTTAACATAGAACTTACAGTTACATCTCGCCATTTCAATTGTAAAATGATGAGACCTCGCTGTCAATCTAGCACTGCATTCAAATTCATAAACTCTAGGTACCAAAGAGGAAAGCTTATCAGAACATTTACCATGAAAGTATTTATAGAAAAGGCCCAGGGAAGCTACGTTACAGTGATGGGAAAGGACTGAAATGAGAGGTTACAAAATTGTTATATCAGCAATATTCAAACAAGGATGAGATGCCAGGTCAGGACCAGTAAAATTGCAGATTCTTCTTTGTATTTCATCAAGAGTCCCTAAATATATAGCAGAAGAACCAGACCAGATGTGGCAGCAATATTCGGTGCATGGACTAATAAAATTGCAGATTCTTCTTTGTATCTCATCAAGGGTCTCTAAATATATAGCAGAAGAACCAGACCAGATGTGGCAGCAATATTCGGTGCACAGACAAATGGTAGACTTATAATTGTATAAAATGAATCCAAATAAATAAAGCAAAAAATAAATGAAAATTTACTTCTGCAGTATTTGCTAGCGGAAGTAATGTGCAGAATACGGAGCTGGTTTTCAAATGTTTTTGTTATATTTACTGTTCAGTATGCAACCGTGCTGTATAAACATTTAGAAATAAATTAGAAATGTTGCAAATGGTGCAAAAGTGTCATTAAACTTATCTGAAGCTGATTGACACAAACACGTTACATGTGTAGTATGCCTGAAATGGGTGCATGGCCGAGTGGTTTACATTCTGACCATGAGACCAGGGTTCAAATCTCACCATAGTCAATTTGTCGGGAAGGAGACTTCCTGGAGGGGGTCGATCACATCATGCGGTATCTTTGGAAAGCTCCTGAAAACCATACTACAGGTTGACCCAAGCTTTGTAAGTGAAATTGTGTGAATGGAATCCGTGGATGCTGTTGATATCTGTGCTAGCACAAAGGCACAAGTCATCGTGGCCGAGGGCTTGAGCATGCTGGCCTTGTTCAAACTGTTGATCACGCTAGATAACACGCTCTTTCCCAGAAACTGTAAGTAAGGTCTGCTCAGCATAGTTGCAGTATAAACCACAGGTGGGCTCTGTGGGTGTTGAACAAACACAAATGCGCCTGAGCAAGCATCTGCAATAGGGATTTGCTAGCCGCCCTAGTAGACAGGTATCTTTGAATAGGAGTGGCCAGCTATTCACATACACATACAGTATGCCTGAAATAGCGGTCGGGTACAAGTTCTCACTTAGTGACCATCTGAATGGCATCCAGTCGTTAAGTGAGAAGTTGCAGTATTCCATCCAGCTTTTACGAAGTTATTCCTGAAAAGTGGCAATTTCTTTGAAACATTGTTCCTTTCGATCAGAATTTATTTAATTTTTTTTTTTTTGTAATTACACAAGATTTGGCTGGTTCAAAATTTATCTACACTAGTTTTAACCCGTGAAAATTTAACAGTTTTCGTATTCGAAATTTCTGATGAATTTGAATTCTTCAGTTAATGATCGAGTACGCTAATTGGCGAGTTCTACGGCAATAAAATATCCGCAAAAATTGCATCACTAAATATTTGAGCTTAACAACTTTAACAAAATATAGCAATCATCCTATTATAACTGGGCTTGTCCCTCCTGTCGTTAATTTGCACGACCGTTATGTCCGATGTAAATACCTCATAAATAATGGACTATTCCATTTTGATCGTGTGAAAAGTGGGGGAAAGACACGACTTAATGAATGAAAGAAGGAAAGGAGGGAAGACATGTATTTAATGGCTGTTTCAGTGCAATGGAAAAAGTTATCAATTTCAAATCTTTTCATTTGTACCCACTTCTTAAAATAACGACCAGCATTCATATTTATCATTGTTATTGCAATATTTGGTTTAAGTTGTTAAGCTCAATATTAAATGACGTGATAGGGAAATTTCTACAGATATTTTGTCATACAACTCGCCATCAGCTTAATCATTAACTGAAATTAAGACTTAATTAAGATTCATCAGAATATTAAAATAGAAAAACTTGTGAAATTTTCACAGGTTTAAACTATTAACTATGAATGCTGGTCATTATTTTAAGAACTAAAGAGGCTTGGGAAATTTTTCCACAGTATAGCCATTAAACCCACTTTAAACTGACCTTGTGTCACATTCGGTTGCTATGTGGGCAAACTTCTTGGCTAGGATCAAAGTGTAGTATCTGTTCTTATCAGCTTAATCTGATTCCCCCCCTCTCTCTCTCTCTCCACTTCTATTTTCCCTTCTTTCTTTCATTTTCTCACTCAAATCAAGTAATGTCTTTCCCCCTCTTTAAACATGATCAAAATGGAATATTCCATTATTTATGATTTATTGGCAGTGGTATTCACATGTCTAGGATGTTTCTTTTTCAATTTTTAGTATGTACACTCAATTTCTCCACAATACGAGGTTGCTGTTATTCTTTTCCCTTGAGGTAAGAATGAATAATGAATAACCCCTTTGAAAGGCCGCCATACAGTAACCGTGGAGATTTTGGGTATTGTTTTGGTGATTCACTTGCATCTAGCCACTGGCCTACTCTGTTACTGTTATCAAAGAATATCCATTTCTCATTGCATGCAATGATTCAATGCAAAAATGGTCCTTTCTTTCCCCAGTCTTTTTACGGTAAGATTACTCGACATTGTTTCATTGTAAACATTTTCATTGAGCTTGAGTAACAATATATTGAAAGAAAAATTATCTGGAAAGAAAAAGAGTCAGGATTAAGTCAAAGTTTTTATTAATATTCCAAAGAGATTTACTTTGTTAGACTACCGAATCAACAACCGACCAAAAAATGCATCATTTTATGAGTGACAACCTAATATTTTAAGTACCTTCACTCCCTCAGCAATGTTTGTTGTCTCAAAAAGCAATGATTAGAATTTTAATTGTGATTTGAACAAGTTTTTCATTATGACAGTCCACAAGCCAACTCAGCAACAGTTTTTTTTTCCTTATCAGCTGCAAAATCAAACTTTCATTTTATTTCCACAATTTGTCACTACTGTTCTTCCTTGCTATACATTTGCAACAAAAGAACACTCAATTTCTTCACAATACAGGTTGCTGTTATTGTTTTCCCTTGAGGCAATAATGAATAACCCCCTTTTTAGGTTTTTTTTACAGTGATCATTAACTATTTAGGGGTGCAGTAGAGGTTTTTAGGGTATAGTTTTGGTGATTCACTTGCATCTAACCACTGGTCTACTCTCTTAATGTTATTAAAGAATATCTATTTCTAAGTTGCATATTTCCATTCAATGCAAAAAATGGTCCTTTTCCCCAGTTTTTTACAGTAAAATTATTCAACATTGTTTCATTGTAAACATTTTCATTGAGCTTCAGTAACAATATATTGAAAGAAAAATTATCTGGAAAGAAAATGAGTAAGGAATAAGTCAAGGTTTTTTTTTTTTTTTTCTAATGAGATTTACTTTGTTAGACTACCAGATTAACAACCGACCAAAAAAAATGCATAATTTTATGTGTGACACCGCTATTATTTTAACTAACTTCACTCCCTCCGCAATGTTTATTGTTTCCAAAAGCAATGATTAGAATTTTGATAAAATCTAAACGTAGGAAGGTGAATTTATGTATTTTCTTCGTTCTTTAAGAATTTTTTTTTTAATTTTTGATTCAAAAGATTTCTTTTCACATTTATTTCTTTATAAAATGTTTATAAATCTTTATAAAAGGTGAATAATGAATATCACATTGTGCTTTTAATCAAACATTTTTATAATCTTCTAAATAAACATTACCATTGGAAGCCAAAAATAGCACAAAATAACAGTGGTGGTTTCAATAAAAAAAAATCCACACTTTTTTTCGGACCATTTCTTTAAAAAAAAATAAATGAAAGTTAATTGTGACTTAATCATACTTTTAATTATTATAAAACCCAGGTTGTGTGTGTGTGTGTGTGTCTACGTTTATATATTGGATCGGAAAAACATTTTTCAACTGATTTCAACAAAACTTCACAGGACTACATAAAATTACCTTGCGTTGGTTCTGACAGTTCCAAAAATTGAAAAACACAATTGTTTTTTTGTATGAAATCAATTTGAAAACACAATTAAGAGGGCATTCTATTTTCCATGAAAGGGGGGATAACTCATATCAATGTTATACTTATTATAAAACCCAGGTTTTTGTGTGTGTGTGTGTGTGTTTTTATATGGGATCGGATTTCCTACATTTTTCAACTAATTTCAACAAAACTTCAAATTTTTGGGGGGGGGGTTAGTGTTTCTTATTGTCTTTGCAACTTTTTCTTTTATTTTTACATTCAGAATGCTTTAAAAATTCCATTTACAAGACAATTGTTTATAATAAAATTCTATTCAATCGGTAGACTCATAACGATTGAAAACAATGTTTTTGTTTGAGTTTGACCAATTCAAAAAAAAAAAAAAAAAAAAATTAATTAAGACATGCGTCCGTCAACCTTAAACAATAATCTTTGTCAATTTTATTTTTCAGTCTTTATGATGGTCGATACTTGATTTATCTCTTACTGTTACATCCCCAGGCAACGCGGGGCTCTACTACTAGTTTTTATATAAACATTAAACATTTTTAAAACATTAACTCCTATACACTTTCATAAAAAAATATTTGACAATCTTTAACCTTCATACCTGCAATAAAACAGTGTCAAATGGATGGCTTTTCCCTTGACACCGTTATTATTTTAACTACCTTTACTCCGTCCACAATCTTTGTTGTTTTAAAAAGCAATGATTAGAATTTTAATAAAACTCAAACACATGAAAGAGAATTTATACATTTTCTTTGTTCTTTGAGAATTTACGACAAAAATATTAAACACTCTTTACTTTATTTATATTGCTCGGACTATCATTCTCATCTTTGTTGCCATATTTATCACAACGTTTTGGCTATTGTACCCTCCGGTCTTCTTCAGGTGGTTGGAATGTTGAACTGAACCCTTTATTTCACTTGCTGGGGTAAACTGTTCTAGTTCAGTGTGCCATGTCTAATGGATGTCAGTTATCTCCTGTTAATTCCCCTCTCCAAGTTCTCCACTGCCTTAACCAGGTATTGAACTCACACTCTTTGCATCCTGTCACTGGATTTGACTAATGGCTTTATCCACTGAGCCATCTGTCCTTGTGAGTTCAATACCTGGTTAAGGCAGTGAGGAAGCCAACATTCATGACTATAAAGATCTAGGGGAATTTAAAAATAAAATGGTTAAATTCAAAATCTATTATTTAAAATATATAACACATAAATAAATGATAACAGCAAAAAATTGTAATATGAGCACTGGTAAAAAAAATGGTTGCTGATGACATTAGGTTTACAATACCCAGAAATTCATACACATGGCACAGTGGATAAAGGCATTGGTTAGATCCAGTGACAGAACCCAAAGAGTGTGAGTTCAATACCTGGTTCAGGCAGTGGAGAACTTGGAGAGGGGAATTAACAGGAGATAACTGACTCCCCACCCTCTATATATGCCTCGTTTATATCTTTCTTTCTCCCCACCCTCTATATATGCCTCGTTTATATCTTTCTTTCTCCCCACCCTCTATATATATGACTATTTTATATCTTTCTTTCTCCCCACCCTCTATATATGACTCGTTTATATCTTTCTTTCTCCCCACCCTCTATATATGACTCGTTTATATCTTTCTTTCTCCCCACCCTCTATATATGACTCGTTTATATCTTTCTTTCTCCCCACCCTCTATATATGACTCGTTTATATCTTTCTTTCTCCCCACCCTCTATATATGACTCGTTTATATCTTTTCTTCTCCCCACCCTCTATATATGATATCTTTCTTTCTCCCCACCCTCTATATATGACTCGTTTATATCTTTCTTTCTCCCCACTCTCTATATATGATTTCTGGCAAACACACAAGATACAAAGTTCACAGTGTTTTATATAGTAATAAGATGAATAAAAAAAAACTTGTCTTCAGAGTTATTTATAAAATGGTAAATAATAAATATTGCATTGTAGTTGATTTACATATTTTCATAATTTTGTAAATTCTTTTATAATATTTGGATAAAAAGATTTCTTTTTACATTCATTTCTTTATAAAATGCTAAGTAATAAATTTTTATGAAAGGTGAATAATATAGATTGGCTCAAAAAGTCGTTTAAAAACTGCATTTGAGAACAGTGGAACAAGGAAATGGTTAGCGGGGGAAAATCATTCAGGCTATCATAATTGCCTACTGAAAACACAACATCCACTCATGAGGTACTGTAGATTGTGGTTATTAACTGACAATACCTCCCCACAATTTTTTGACATATTTTGCCTATTTATGAAGGATGGTAAGTTTGAAATTCCACATAACTATCGACACAAATATCTTCTACTAAAACAACTTAATTCACATTATTATTATAAAGTAATAAAAGTACTCTTATCTTGCATAATATGGTGATTTTCTAAGCCTGGCTTAGATGTGGCACAAGGTCGAAAGTATGGGACACCCAATGAGGATCGAACTCACTACTCAGTCGTAATGAATCTAGCAAGACAAGCTTTCTAACCATTACACTCTTACCTTGCATAATATGTGTTATGATTGCACGACAACAATAAAACACATATCTGTCAAGAGAGAAATGCAAAACAACCATCGTGACAATATCTTGCCCTCCTTTTTTCAATGATATTGAACAAAAACATAATTGGATGTGTCGCAACAAACTCTTTAAAAACTGCATTTGAGAACAGTGCAACAAGTAAATGGTTAGCGGGGGAAAAGTCATTCAGGCTATCATAATTGCCTACTGAAAACACAACACCCACTCATGAGGTACTATAGATTGTGGTTATTAACTGACAATACCTCCCCACAATTTTTTTCCTTATAATTTGGGTGAAAAGTATATGATTACTGAATTTATTTAATAAATTTAATACATTTTAAAATGCTATTTTTTGCGGGGGGTGGGGGATGAGGTTGGCTTGTACAGCAAATGTAGCCCAATAACTACATTTTAACTTGAAAATTCAGGTTTCATCATATACACCCAGTTGCCATGTGTGCAAGCATAAAAAACTTTTAAAAAGAGTTTAGAATGAACAAAAATTATGCATAAATATAAATTTTATAGTCAATATGTTTATTGCTATTGAGAAAAATATGTACTTTATGTGACAAAATTCTAAATAATGACATTTTTAGTTAGTCTCGTAGTTTATAATCTATATATTCATAGGCTTATGGCCATGTCACATTGAAATACCAGTTCCTGTAAGATCTCTGAAGTTAAGCAATATCAAGCCTTGTCAGTACCTACATAGGTGACTGCTTGGGAATATCAGGTAATGTAACACGGTAAATTTCTTTTTGGATGTGCTCATCTTTTAGCGCCACGGTAAATTACTTTTCAGAGGTGCTCATCTTTTGGCGCCACGGTGAATTACTTTTCAGAGGTGCTCATCTTTTGGGCTTAAAACAAACAATTACTTTTCAGAGGTGCTCATCTTTTTTTTCATTGAATTACTTTTTAGAGGTGCTCATCTTTTTCTGATACTCTAAATGGTCTGACGTAACTTTAGTGGCCTGGTTCAGTAGAACACATTTTGGACTTGAAGCTTCAGCTCCTTAACCGTGGCACTATTTTCACTTATATCATTTTGCACTTTTCTTTGCCATACTGTCAAGCCTTTCCCGGTAGAACTTATTTATTTATTTATTTATTTTTTTTTTTTTTTAGTTTTCAGCTAAATTTAATCTTTCTGAATGAACATTTCATTTTCAGATGAAACTTTTTTTATTCGTTTTTAATACAGAAACTGAAACTCCTTGAATATCCGAGTGGTGGGTAACACCTCTACCAGACACACGAGGTGACAACTGGAATGTTTCAACCCCAGAAATATATAAAAAAATAATCAAGATTGTCATAACCATATCTGTATTTTTCTTGAACATTACGATTCGGACGAAACTTATTATCTACCAACGTTTATTTAAAAAAAATTTCAGTAAAACATATATACACATCTACGCTGGGGAAGGAGTTAATCCAACATTTTTAATACTTCAAATGTTATTTTTAATGGATATCCATATTTGAAATATACACAGTTTTTTATTTTTTTTTAATTTTTAAGTGTGTAACATCTATTTAAAATACAAATTAAAGAAATCTTAATATATTTTGAGACCAGTGTTTTTAAAAAATTTTGAAAATGGCGTTCCTTGAACTGCAGAAAGTGAGCAATTGTTTGAACCTGCAACCCCTTTATAGGAGAAATGAATGGTCTAAGGTATAAACTACAAAAGGGGGCTTACAGGTTTAAACCCTGCTGGAGAGCATGTTTTAGTTATTAAGATTCCTCAAGTGTACAGATGGATAGATATAATACACACTGTTTAAAATTTTTAAAAATGGCACATCTATTTAAAATACAGGTACTCCCTAAATATAACTTTCAAAGTAATAATACATGTGTGTGTGTATAAAATTTCAAATATAACTAAAAATATATCTGTAAAAGGATATGACCAGGGGCAGTAAAGAAAAACAAAATTTCATCAAGTGACAAACTTGTATTATATATATGTGTGTGTGTGTGTGTGTGTGTGTGTGTATATATATATATATATATATATATATAATATTAGTGGTAAATATGCACATACATATGAAATCATATATCTAAAACATATATACATACATACATACATACACATATATTTGTATAAAAAATAATACCAAGATGTTTTTGAACATAGAAATATAGGTCCTTGCTAGATTAGATAATCGTTATATTTGTTTTTTTATGTTTATATTTGATTTATAACCTGTAGTCGATATTAAATTTGTCAAATTTTCTCAATTAGAATAAAATTTTACCCTTTTATAAATGCCCTTCAAGTTCTCCCCACATCTCTCTCCTACCCCTTTTCTTTTCTTTTACCTCTCCCTTCTCATCTTCTGATCTTTAAGATTATATCGTCTATTCCTGTGTGTATGTCACCACAAAAAAAGTATCTTTTAGAAATACATTTTTAATGTATTAACATCCAAGAACATTCATATTTCTCTCACATTTTTTACTCCATCTTTAAAACTTCTCTCTGTTAAATTTTAATCCCCCCACATCATCCTGTTCTTCTCTAGTCTGTTTACCCCTCCCTATAGCTTTCATTTATATAACATTCATCCCACACTCTCATACATTACACTCACACTAAATTTTATTTTTATTCCCCGGAGTTGTTTTTTCCGTTTTCTTTTTTTGAATTTGGAGGTCTGATGAATTGGATTATATTTACCATTCCAATGGAATAAATTATGACAATGGAATATTATAAATAAACCTATTTTTATTTATATATATATATATATATATATATATATATATATATACGCTGTCTGTGTGTGTGTCAAGACAATGTTATTTTGTTTGGCTTTATCACTGATTCATCAGTTTGGCTAGACATCTGAATTGCTTCAAGCCAGGATCTAAAAACAATATTTGGCACATCAGTCAGAGATTCTACCAAGCTATTGTTGACCATTTGTTAAAGAAGGAAATTTTAATGTTTTCATATATTTAAGACATCAGTGTAGGAGAGTTCAATTCAAGTAAAGGATGCCTATTAATATATATAGCAGCCCACTATTTATAAAAATCATCTTCTTCTCCATAGTTTTCAATCAAATTATTTTTGAAGGCAAAATAGTCATCCTTGTTTAACACACACACACAAACAAAACAAGTACTTTTACAGATTTTAACTAAAAAATAGAGATAATGATGAAAAATACTCCAAACTTAATAAATAAGTTTTATCATCAAAATTTTTATGTTATTATTAAGAGGAGAGACCAAAGGATTGTTTTAATTATTAAATTATATTTTTTTATCCTTTTAAAAACATTCGAAATTTTTTTTCTTGTATCATCCATGGACTAAAGATTAGTATAGCAAATTTTAACATCTTTTTTTTGCAATGAAAAACAAACTGATTTGGAAATTCTTGTAAAAATCAAATAATTGTCTAATTTAAATTAAATTTTCAGGACTTATTCATAAATGAATGAAATTATTTTAGAAATGATTTTTCTTTTTTTTTTCAGAATATCTTGGTAAAAATATTTTTTTTACGTCTGTTAACCACTGCCCCACCCAATTTGTTTTATGAAATTTTAAAAAATTCATTTTTGTACCACTTAATGTTTATATGCAGAATTCCTTTTGTTTCATTTAAATTTCATTTTCTTTTTTTTTTAAAAACAGGTTTTAATTACCAAAAAATTTTGAATCTAAATCATAAAATAAAAAATGCAATAAAAAAAAGATATTATTTAATCAAAATAATGTTTAATTGCTTATATGAATAGATATATTATGGATGCTATTGTCTTAAGGAAAAATATTTTTGCCATGAATAATAAATTTTTACAAGAATTATTTCCATTTTTCTTTTTTTTTTTTTTATAAATTTTAATTAGAATAATTTATGTTTTAAATCTTTTAAATTTCTGCATTAATTTGTAGTGATGATATTGTTATTAGCTAAAAACTATATTTATTAATCATAAATGGAAAAAAGGGCAAAATTCAAAATTAATATTTTAAAAATTCTCTGAATATTTTTCGTGATGTATAAACATGCCAATTTTTGTAAATATGGATATGGACATCCATTTTTGAAAAAATTTTTAAAAAACGTTTATTTTTTGAAATATTGATTCATTAATTTTAATTGATTTTTTTCCATTATATAAATTTTGTATCAGTAAATTGACTATTAATAACCATAGTAAATTTAAAATATGCCAAAGTACCTAAATTCAATAAAACATATTTAGATTTTATTTTCCTAAATTTTAAACATTTAATAATGGTTAGTTTAATTTATATTTTTAAAATTTGCACATGTTATTTTCTTCAAGGTTTTTACTGTTTAATAAATTCTGACGAAAAAACAGATAAACTGTCATTCAAGATATCAACACCAGAAATAAACAGCTACAGCTCTGTTAAAAAAACGCATTTCTGTGGTATTTTAAGCTAAAAGTAATATTTGTTTCAAATCAGTTTAAATTTTAAATCAGCTAATATTTCACTTCAGAAAAGTACATTTTATTTTTGAAAATTTTTTAATAAAGAGAATTACATTCTGTTGACAGATGGCTAAAAATGGCACTAAAATCAGCAATTGTTATTAATTAAAAAGAAAGAAAAGTAACTCCTTTAAGTCTATTTAAATTAGTTTTGAAATAAGAATATTTTGATTATTAAAATAATTCTTTAAATCTATAAAAAGATTTTCATTTTTAAATTCATTTTTAAACCATAGGTATCATTTTTCTTTGGGTGAATACCCAAATATATATATATATTTAGGAAATCCAATTGGCATTCTTGAGAAAAGGGTAATTAAAAAACAGTGGCTCCTTGTTTATTTTTATTCTCTTTCTTCAAATGCTGAATTGAGAAAATGTTTTTGAAATGTATTTCATATAGAAAACATTAAATTTCCCTTTCTCTCTGCCATGCAACAGTAGCCTAAAAGTAAAATCTCTTTTGTGATAATACCAAATCTGTTGGGTTTTCGTCCTGGCTTGAAAAAACTATCGGATGTCTAGTCAATATGAATTAATTGTAATATAGCAAAACAGTCTGTTGGAAAATAAAATTCATTGGAAGATGCTTTATTTATGTTTTGGGTATGAAAAAAATGATTAGACATGTGCTTTCAACAAGACCTGAACGGGAGAATGTGCTTTCTTCAAAATGGCAATTGAACTTTGATGAGCTGTAATCCTCTCTGTGGCTGAGCAGTCTAAAGCCTGCCAGATCAGAAACGCGGTTTCTCCTACAAAGAGAGACACTGGTTTGAACACTGCCAGAGCTGAGGACATAATTCACACTTTTAGTACTTAATTTCCGGGTTTGAAAAAATCTCCTCAATATTGTTTCAAACTTTTTTTTCATCTTCATTTTGGTTGATAGAGATATTATTATAGACACACTATTTCGACTAAGTACCCTTTGGTCATCATCAAGTGTCCATTGGCAACCAGAGGAATACTTGGTCAAAACATTGTCTATGATAATAATCATACAGAGGCGATGGATAAATTGTCACTCTAATATTACATACATATATAGTGCACACACATAAAAACACAAAAAAAAAAAAAAATGAAAATAACACTGACAATCTCATTTTAACAGACATATTTACCAAAATTACATAAAAAATATCTTGAAATACTAAAGAGTAAATTTATTCAATAAAATCAAATTGGCTTCAACCACACCTCTAGATGACTTCATCTCTCCTGCAATTTTTCTGGATGGTCT